GCACTATCTAACAAAATGAAATTCAATGGTGAAAAAGTAAGGTTCTGCATTTAGGCAAGAAAAACCAAATGAATAGGTATTGTTTAGGAGGTACCTTGCTAAATAGTAGTAATTATGAGAGGGACCTCGGAGTCCTAGTGGACAATCACTTAAATATGAGCCAGCAGTGTGCTGCAGCTGCCAAAAAAGCCAACACAGTGCTAGGCTGCATTAACAGAGGGATAGAAAGAATCAAGATCACGTGAAGTGTTAATACCAGTTTACAATGCCTTGGTAAGGCCACATTTAAAATACTGCATCCAGTTTTGGTCACCACGATGTAAAAAAGATGTTGGGACTCTAGAAAGAATACAGAGAAGAGGAACAAAGATGATTAGGGGACTGGAGGCTAAAACATACAAGGAACGGTTGCTGGAATTGGGTATGTCTAGTTTAATGAAGAGAAGGACGAGGGGGGACATGATAGCAGTCTTCCAATATCTCAGGGGTTGCCACAAAGAAGAGAGAGTCAAGCTATTCTCAAAAGCCCCTGAAGGCAGGGCAAGAAGCAATGGATGGAAACTAACCAAAGAGAGATGCAACCTAGAACTAAGGAGAAACTTCCTGACAGTTAGAACAATTAACCAGAGGAACAACCTGCCTCCAGAAGTGGTGAATCCTCCAACACTGGAAGTCTTTAAGAAGAGATTGGACAGCCATTTATCTCTAATGGTATAGGGTTCTTGCCTGAGCAAGAGGTTGGACTAGATGACCTCCAATGTCCCTTCCAACTTTATTATCATTGTCATTGTCGTTGTGGTTGCTTTGTTGTTGTTGTTGTTGTTGTTGTTGTTGTTGTTGTTGTTATTATTATTATTATTATCATTATTATGTATCTGAGCTCAGAAAAGAGATTAAGAGTACAGTAGGAATTGTTCAGTGAAGGTAGGAATTCACCATAGTTGATATATTTATAATTTGCTGGAAAAATAAAAAGTGACCTCAAAGAGACCTTGAAAGAAAGATGACAAAACCAAGATAATATACTCGGACATATATATTAATATAAAATCATCAAAATATGTCAAGGAGATAGAAAATTAAAAATTGAAAGATAAAATAGGTGCAAAATTGCTGTAGAACAATGGAAGATTTATAGACAACTTCTTTACATAAACCATGTAGATTAATTTTTTTCCTCCCAGAAATCTACTTCAGTAGATTTCAAATCCAGTATTTGTGCCATTATTCCTTTGATAAATATGAACAATGCTTTCCTGTTCTTTTAATTATACTGAACACTGTATCAGATATAGCAACTCCAGCATTTGTTTCTGAACACACAAGATAAAAAAAAATCAAAATTTCAAGGGCATAATGGGATTTTAAAGACAATTGACTAATTGTCTTAAGCACAGGAATGTGCATGAACATGCTAATACAGAGAAGGGAGAAGTTGTATAGTTTAATGACCATTATATTCAAGACAGAGATTTCCATGTTTGGTTTCTTGTACATATCTGGCAAAATTCTGCAAGTATATTGAAGACCAGGAAGGTTGGAAGTGGGGGAAATATGTTGAAGAAGCCAGTGGTGATTCACTTTCATGTTGACTCTCAGAAATATGTAGAATGTGTCCATTAAGTCATCAGGAGTATAATGTGACTCCAGGGACAACTTAGTTTGTCTGTAACTTTTTAAGAGATATCTTAACAGGCAAAAAGAGAACACAAGAACATTAGGGGGGGGTGTTACTTTAAAAGGGGATAGAAACAATTTCCTTTCACTTATTTAACTTACTGGACTCTATTATTGAAATACAGGTAGTCCTCGACTTATCATCAAATTGAGCCCAAAATTTCTGTTGCTAACTGAGACATTTACTAAGTGAATTTTGTCTCATTTTATGACCTTTCTTGCAAAATTGTTAAGGAAAGCACTGCAATTGTTAAATTAGTAACATGGTTGCTAAGTGTATTTGGCTTCCCCATTAACTTTGCTTGTCAGAAGGCTGCAAAAGGTGATCACATGTCCTTGGGACATTGCAACTGTCATAAATATGAGTCAGTTGCCAAGTGTCTGGATTTTGATCATTTAATGATCATGGGGATGTTGTGATGGTTGTATATGTGAAAAACAGTCATAAGTCATTTTTTAAGTGATGTTGTAACTTTGAACAGTCATTAAATGAACTATTGTAAGTTGAGGAATACCTGAATTGAAAGTGGCTTTAGTCTCAATATAAGATTGAAGTCTCTGCAAACTTCATATAATTTACTTATAGAAACAAAACTGACATGAACTTGTCATAAGAGCCGTGGTGGCACAGTGGTTAGAATGCAGTACTGCAAGCTACTTCTTCTGACTGTCGGCTGTCTGCAATTTGAATCTCACCAGGCTCAAATCAGCCTTCCATCCTTCCAAGGTCGGTAAAATGAGGACCCAGATAGTTGGGGGCAATAGGCTGACTCTGTAAATCGCTTAGAGAAGGCTGTAAAAGCACTGTGAAGCGGTATATAAGTCTTAACTGCTACTGGTATATCTACATACATTTAGTCATTTAAATATTGATGTGCTTCAAAGCAAATGGTTTATGTCCATGCTATTCCATAAGCCCTGGTTAACAAGATGGTGCTAGAACTATGATAGAAAACACAACAAAAACATCAGTAGATATATGGTTGCAAAACTAGCTTAGAAACAAGCAAACTAAGCTGCCAGCTTTTCCTTTCTTTTCTTTTTAAAGATACAAGTTTAGTGTATAATGATTGTTTCAATACAGTGCTTCTCAAACAGTATGGTTCAATACCCGTAAAGTGATGGTGATCCAACCCCTTTAGCCTTCTGGAAGGCCCTTAAAACAACTATATTTAGGATCCTGTGATAGAGTGATACCTGCTAGATCTGTGGTCTCCAACGTTTTGGGCTCCAGGGACTGGTTCCTTAGAGAGAGATTTTTCTGCAGACTGGAGGGGGTGAGGTTTCAATGCTGCCTGCATCCCATGGACGGGGCTTCGCTTGTTTGCCTGGTCTGGTTTCTGGAATGCCATGGACTAGTGCCGGTCCACTGACCGGGAGTTGGGGACCTCTGTGCTAGATAGTTACAAGAGGGTTCATTAAAAACAAATTTTGTATGTCTTTATGTTGACTTTCTATTCTTTTAATTTATTATGGTTGTATTTGTAATGTGGTAATGAATTTTAATGTATGTGCATTGTTTTATCATGTACACTGCCCTGAAACACTGTATGAAAGGATGGATAGCAATAGCCCTTAGCACTTAGACTTATATACCGCTTTACAGCCCTCTCTAAGCAGTTTACAATATCAGCATTTTGCCCCCGGCAATCTGGGTCCTCATTTTACCTACCTCGGAACTATGGAAGACTGGGTTAACCTTGAGCCTGGTGAGACTCAAACTGCCAAACTGCTGTCAGCTGGCAGTCAGCAGACGTAGCCTGCAGTACTGCATTTTAACACTGCATCACCAGGGATGGATGGATGGATGGATGGATGGACAGACAAACAGAGACAGAGACAGACAGACACAGACACACACAGAGAGAGAGATGCCTGCTGCCTACCTACCTACCTATCAGTGACTCTGTGTGGCTTACAGAAATAATGATAGATAGGTCTCTGATCCATATGAACCCCAATGAACAAAACCAGTGATTGTATGGGAGGCAGGGCAAGAAATGACTGTCTACCCTCCATTTCATTCCCAAGTAGATCTGGTGATTCAATAGTCTTAGATGAGTAGACACTTCAAATACAGAGGTATTAAAACCTTGTTTTGGCCCCACACTAATAGCTGAAACATTCTGGTATTTGTAGCTCTCTATAGTTAAGAGTTATATGGTATACCTATTTTAATTCCTGAACTGTTTCTATTGACTGAAGTTATTAATCAGATAACTGGTTTATCTGATTCTGAGCCCTGGACAGATGTCAGCTTTTCACAGAGGGCTATTATGATAATTGACCTCTTTGTTACTTTAATTTACTTCCCTGTTTCCAGGTTTAATCATGCTTGAGAAAAAAATAGTGACTTCCCAGACCTAATCTTAGTTTTGCAAGATCCTTGTAAGCTCACTATGATATTTTCTCTATCAGATACTCAAGGTTGCATATGGTCATTTTTTGTGATATATACTTTTGAGAAATTTGATATAAAATATACATACATTTTATTTACATTTAAAGTTATATTTTTCTCTACTTCACAGAGTCCTTGATTCTGGATTATGATAATACAGGTTAGATTAACTGGATGGCTTTTCTATGCAAATAGTTACTTGTGTAGGGACAAGATTTCCATTTGTCCATATTTTAAGTTTTATTTTATTTTTATTTAAGATATAAATTTTATTTTGAGTTTGTAGTCCATAATAAGAGGAACAGTATGTATGTTTGCTGCCATGAGTTATTTATAAAAATAATAAAGGTGGGATAAAAATCTAATAAATAAACAGTGGTTCTGTAGTTAACTATAGGAGTAAGATAAGATTATGCATTTGAAATAGATGTATAAGCTCTGAGGAGCCTAGTGTTTGTTTACAGACATACATACACATCTTCTGAGAGAGGTAATTTAATGGAAATTGAAAGATGATCCAAGATTATTCAGGAGATCATCGGATTGCCATATGCAACCTTCTCAGCCAGCTTTCAAAAAGCAAAGTCAATTGGGAAACTAGGCTCACTTAGTAGCCATGTGATTCACTTAACAACTGCAGTGATTTGCTTAACAAAAAAGATCATAAAATGAGATGTGACTCAATTAACAACTATGCTTAGGAATGGAAATTTTGGTCCTGATTATAGCTGTAAGTCAAGTTGAAGTTGAAGTTCTATAGCAGATTTGTAGTGCAAGTATTCCAAACAAACTCATTTTGTTTATTGATCAGTTAGTCTTGGTGAGCTATCTTTTAAAGTCTTGCTCCAAGGTTGTTGTCCTTAGACAGTATTTTTTGCTTTGGCTTTATATCATAGGAGTTTCCTCCTTTGTTTTAAAACAGAAAGACGAAAATTACAGAAGCCTCCCACGGGACACCAGTACCTGGTCTTCTAATCAATTTCAGAGGGATAATGCTCGTTCTTCATTAAGTGCCACTCATCCCATGGTAGATAAATGGCTGGAGAGACAAGAACAGGTAACATATATCTGTTTAAGATAATCTAGTATAAAATATTAATTTTATATACCTTCATAAGCATATAGGCACACAGGTTTATCAAGAGGTAGGCAGTTTGGTAGAGCTCCAGAACTTCTGAATTTTAGTTTCTATTAGTGTCCTGTATAGTAGTTTCCATTAGTGTCCTATACGGTACTTTGGCCAGTGGCAAAAGATGGTAGTGTTGGAGACCAAAACCTTGAGAGAGTAAAATGTTGCCTATCCTTACAAAAAAACAAACAAACTTCAAACTGTATTGGCTTCTGAACAACTGATAATGATCAGAAATATAGAGGTCTCTTAAAAAAATAAGTTATAATTTCAATTTATGGAAGCCAGTTTGGTCTGGTGGTTAAGGTACCAGACTAAAAAGCAGGAGACTGTGAGTCCTGCCTTAAGAATGAAAGCCAGCTTGGTAATTTTGGGCCAGCCACCCTGACTCAGCGCAAACCTCCTCATAGAGTTGTTGTAATGGTGAGTATAGGAGAAGGAAGAAGAAATAAGCACGTTCATCACCTTGAGTTATTTATAAAAATAATAAAGGTAGGATAAATAAAATCTAAAAAAAAAAGTCTTAACAATGGCATTTCTATCTTCCTCATTTTGAAGACAGAAGCACAGAGCGCTAGAGTTCCAGTGTATGTTAATGAATCTGGATGAAATTATATTGGAAAACAGTGTGCCAGTTTTAGAGATTTCAGTCTTGATCTTTGAGCCATGGTGGCACAGTAGTTAGAATGCAGTATTGCAGTCTAATTCTGATAAATACCAGCAGTTTGATCCTGACCGGCTCAAGGTTGACTCAGTAAAATAAGGATAAAGGATGTTGGGGGTAAACTGCTTACTGAGGACTATAAAGCAATATGAAGTGGCATATGTCTAAATGCTATTGCTATTGCGATTAAGTTTTGTATCTGTTATTATTGGTCAGTACTATTTCAGATGAAAAATCAAACATATAATGCACTCCCATTAAAAAATCTGTATACATTCACCTCATCGTAAATATGCAGGAAGATACATGAATTCTCCATCTACAGTTAAACTGTTCATCTGTAATACAAAGAACTTCAGTTCAGTTCAGTGTCATATGATGCTATAGGCTTCTAGTGTGGAATACAAAGTGAGGAGTTTATTATCAAGCTCTTCTTTAAAGAAACATTCACTGTTAATATGTTAATATGTCCTTTAATAAAGTTAGGTTACATGAAATGGAAAATCACAAATTGTGTTTTGTCCTGAATCTTTATGAAATATAATTTATATGGCAGACTAAATAGTGAGCCCCAGTAATGTGGGCTATTATTTAGAATGTAGAAGGCTCACTTGTTGGCTGATTTTGCAGGATGCAAGCAAACTATTTATTTGACAAGCTAGCAAAAGCATTTAATGTGGCAGTTGAATTAGAGCTATTAATCTCATAATCTTGTTTTGATTCTGTAGAACATCACAGCCACACCCAACTTTAGTATATACCAAGATGATAAACCTGGCAGTAATACACTGCACACTGGCTCTGATATTTACCTCATTTTTTCTCTCCTCCACTGGAAAAACATCAAACATGCAAAATCCTTTTAACATTTTTCTGTAGTTTCTTGACTTTGGATGGAAGTAAAACCCATATAGTATTTCTTAGTCTCATGTCAGTTGCTAAACTGAAGACTCTAAAGCTATTGTTATGGTTTTCTTTTTCTTTTGTCATTAAATTACATGTTTATTTTTGAAAGCAAGTTGAATCAGGAGTCTTACTGGTGACCTTCTAGGAAATGTATACCATTTGCATATTTGAATACATTGCAAATACAGTTATACATTGTAGTGTTCTAACCCAAAATTTTATTTACTTTCAAGAAAGTTAAATTACTATTGAGAAGTGATAAAACAAGTCAGAATTTCATTCAATAACTGAGTGCTTTTTCCCCTTAAGTATTTTTCTATGATGGTTTTTAAAAAAATCTATTATATTTGATGTTAATGAGTTTGCATGTACCTAGAAAGAAGGAATTCTTTGGTGATTTCATATCAGTGGGATAATTAATTAAACTGAAATTGTGTAACAGGGCATGAACAACGGAAACAATCCTTAACAAGAACAGAATGGAACAAAGTACTGTAGAGGGTGATGAGGTTTTGCACATGAAAAACATAACTGTGCTTAAAAATTCTGATTCTGAAGACCCCTTTTCCCTCTTTCTCCTTTTAAAGTAAAAACTGTTCAGACATTTAATAATACTTATTTGCCTTGCTTTGCTTAAAAGAAATTTGGATTATCAATTTGTTTATTCATTTATCTGAGTTCTATAACTGCCCATTTTAGCAAGTGACCCTATGTGGGGTAATCATAATACATAAAAACCAGTTAAACAGCACAAAATAAATATATATGGCACCAAGTAAAATTGTTACTATGGAAGTTAATGTCAGGAAATGTAGTCTTTATCACATCTGGGGCCCTAGGCTCAGACACACAACCAAGTCTTCACTGCCTCGTGAAAGCCAATGGGGTCATAACCACCCTGATAGCTAAAAGGCAGAATATTCAAGAGTCAGGAGCTACATCTGAGAAGGCATATCTCCCGGATGCCACCAGCTGAATTCCTTATCTGATGGGACCCACCATATGCCAAACCTGCTTGACTGAATTGGACTTTTTCCATAATAAAATGATTAAGCCATATTGGATAATACTTCCACTGTAACATTCTATCTTCAGTTCACCTTTCCACACTATGAGTGAAATGTATAATTGAATAAATAAATCGGGAAGCTCTTTCAGAAAAGAGAATGAGAATTCTAATTAGAAGCCCAAGATCTTCTTCTGAATTATCCCTAGGTAGACTAAATCCCATAAGTAAAAAAATCATCTGAGAAAATCATTAGTTGACAAAGTTGATTTCAAGACATGATTGGATACAGACAATGCGCCACTTGATAGTCCTGATCTTTGAATATGATAAAGTGTTTCAAGAAATGGAGTTAATTGAGGAAGGTAATTCATTCTGAAGAAGTTGGATTTAGCTCAGAACATAATGGTCTCAGTAGCCAAGTGTATGACCTGAATCACTTGACTGACAATATGTTGGAAGTATCTTGCAGAAATGGGACCTTATGGACACCCATTCTCCATGATTACTTTAGTCCTTCGAAGTGAGACAGGCCAGATATTTGTCATTGCATTCTTCCCTTCACTTTTGAGTGAAAAGAAAAAAACAACAACAGTTTGTCAGTAGAGGAGTTTTAAAAAATACTGTAGTCAAAGGACAAAGGTCCTAGACATTCAGGCTTATGTGTTGCTGGTAGATGGACACATTGTCTGACAGAAGGGATCATTCAGTCAGTTTGTTAGTGAATTGGGATTAATTTTTTTGCCATATTGTACTATTTACTATTTAACTTCTTCCCTGCAATTTTAAGTTCAGCAATTAATTTTCATTTGAGTTTTGTTACATTTATGTTGTACATCATTATTTTTATTGTCTGAATATTGCGTTAGTACAACCAACTAAATGTTTAAAGACACAACAGCATCATCTTACTCATGTTTGTCAGAACTGAGTTCTATTAAGTTCAGTTCCTAGAGTTTAGTTTGGATTGAAGACACACACACACACACACACACACACACACACACACGGAGGGAGGGAGAGAGGGAGAGGGAGAGGGAGAGAGAGAGAGAGACTCCCAGTGGATAACAGTGAAAATTTGGCTTTAGTGAAGAGTGAGTGAATGTTGTTCAACAGTGCCCTTAATTACTATAGTGCATAAGTGAAATACATTAGTAGAATTAAAACTTTGTATTTTTATTCCCTTGCTAGGTAATACAGTTAATGAATATAGATCTGACCAAATTAAGATTATTTATTTTAATGCTTTACATCATTGTAAAACTTTTAGCATAGCATAGAACCTTCAAACTTAAATAGAAGCAATCCTCGCAGCCACTTCAAAGATTGTGAAGATTAAAAGTTTCAAGTGCATTAAAGCAATTCCCTTAATTGTGTCTGTAGAGGATATTATATCTTCTGCTATAGATTTCTTTGTTTACAATTCAAAGTATTAGCTAGAACTTGGTACTTAGTACCCTTTTGAACTTGGTACTTAGAGAGATTTTCACTGCTGAACTACTCTATAAATAGTTCAAAATACTAGGCTCTAAAAGTGGCTAGTGCCTATCAGAGACAGTTTCCATTCATCTTGTAATTTTTTTGATGAGCTACTTTTAATTTAAAAATGAAATGGATAAAATTCACTGATAGAGGGTTTGTGTTGGGATTTTCACTGTGCTAGAAAAGTTAAGTAAGAGTGGATATCAATTATCAATTGGTTATAGTAATTAGAATTCAGAGATTTGTAGTTGATATATCTAAGAATAGTGAGGAGGGAGGAGGAGGAGGAGGAAAAGGCCAACCAAGTTACTATCTTGTATTTTCTTCAGAGGCATCTGTTTAACCAGTGTTGGGGACAATATATTGAATTGGGAGCCCTTTCATTCAGCTACCATTTTGTGAAGAGATAATTACACCCTTGTGCATTTTCTAGATGTTTGCAGATCTTTACTGCTTCATATTATCAGAGCTCTGTCAGGGAATTGTGCAGCAGATGTCCAAATGAAGTCAGAGATGCTGACATAGTTTTATATAAATAAATATATTTATGTCTTTAGTTATTCGGATTTTCTCCCGCGTCAAATTGGAAGTGTCTTGGCGACGTTTCGACGAATTCTCATTTGTCATCTTCAGGCTGGTGTTTTTGGCTTCGTGCTTCTAGGAGCAATGTGTGATCGTAGCTGTTTCTTCCTTTTAACTGCCAGTGGGGGTATGAACTGATTGGGTGAGAGCTTGGCTGTGTTCTGATTGGATGGAGGTGTGTTCTGATTGGTTAGGAGCTTGGCTGTGCTCTGATTGGATGGGGGGTTGGCTGTGCTCTGATTGGTTGGGGGAATGTTCTGTTTGGGTGGGGGCTTTGTTGTGCTCAGG